CCCCCCCCCCCCCCTGATTAGCCCAAGAGCAGCAGCAGGGGGGGGGGGGGAATTCCCTCTATTTGTCTGCTCCAGGGCTCCCTGAAGCCTGCACCAGACCTGTGCGCTTGGGTCCAGCCCCCACAGGTGAAGGGAAGGCAGGGGAGGGGGGCAAGGAGCTACCAGACATCCACAGGGCCTGGTGGGGGCTGAATCTTGGCACGTAGGCACAGTGTGGGCTACAGGGAGCTTGGGAGCAGGCAAGGAGGGGGAGTCCCCCTCCCTGCTGATGTTGCCAATGCTGTGGGGCTGACTGGGGCAGCAGAGTGGTGATCTGGAGGTGGAGGGGGTGATTGGGGGGCTAATAAAATCATTGGGGGTCGTGATCAAGATGCGGGAGGAGAGAGTGATGCAGGGGGCAGAGAGGGAGATCAGGTAGGGGGCAATCCATGCAGTATAGTGGACCCCCCAGCCTATACTGAGGTTAGAGGGCTGGTGAATGTTGCAGGCATGGAGCAGTCTTGCAGCTCCTAGCCATGCTCCTAGTCACTAGCCCTCTAGTGGCAGGCCTGAGCAGTGCTTGTTAGAGAGGGTATTAACCCTTAATGTGTGACTGCTCCCTGCATGTGCTAACTTTAACACAAACTAACATTCCTTAGAGTTAGCATGTGCTAATTGTAATGTGTAAGCACATCCACAGTTGCATAGAGGATTTTGTGTGTTTAGCAAGGAACATTCCTAAATTATGTTACAGAGCCCCAACATAAGGTTAAATGCTTTTCTTAGAATCTCATAGTTTCAGTCGGATAATGATTCTGCCATGAAAGTCTTTGAAAAGATTATTAAGGCTCATATATGTGAGAGCCCAGCAGCAAAAATTATGCTGAGGGGAAACCAGCGTGGGTTTGTAGCAGGTAGATCATGCCTGACTAATCTAGTCTCTTTTTATGACCAGGTTACAAAACAACTGGATGCAAAAGTAGGGGTAGATATCGTTTAGTTAGATTTCAGGAAGGCCTTCTATACAGTATCCCACCCCATACTGGTGAACAAATTAAGAGGCTGTGACTTGGATGATTACAAAGTCCGGTGGGTGGCAAATTGGCTACAGGGTTGTACCCAGAGAGTGGTAGTGGATGGGTTGATATCGACCTGGAAGGATCAAAGGATGGGCTGATATCGACCCTGCTGGCAGCGTGGTCCAGCAGGGCTCAGTCCTTGGACCAATACTCTTCAATGTCTTCATCAGTGACTTGGACGAGGGAGTGAAGTGTACTCTGTTCAAGTCTGCGGATGATACAAAACTGTGGGGAGAAGTGGACACACCAGAGGGCAGGGAACAACTGCAGGCAGAGCTGGACAGGTTGGACAAATGGGCAGAAAACAACAGAATGCAGTTTAACAAGGAGAAATGCAAAGTGCTGCACCTAGGGAGGAAAAATGTCCAGCACACCTACTGCCTAGGAAATGACCTGCTCGGTAGCACGGAAG